AAGGCATGTTGTTGTGTACAACGAACTATGGGCCGTTAGGCGCTTTCTCCTTTCCCCTACAGTATCCTTTCTGATAAAACCCACCTCAACATCATCACCCTAGTCAATGCGCAGTTCGGGTCCGGGGAATTGATCATTCATGAAGATCATCTCGCGCACGTTGCCATCGGGCGCACCCTTTTGCCAAGTCAGGTCAAGATTGAAATTAACCTGTTTAGAATACGCTAACTGCACAGGAAAAGTGGCAGCGAAGGCCGCAAAGGCCTTCAAAGGTGCCATTGCAATGAACTTGTATCGGAGAAGGGTATATTATATCAATGGAATAGATGTATGTAGCTTCAGATTCGGTCCAATGACCTGGGCAGTGAGGAAGAAGATACTAATCTCTGCTTATCAATCTCAACAGTATAGCTTGCCTATGTGGACCAGGAAGGTATTTGAATGGTTTGCATTTGTTATTATCATACACCCCATGCTTCTAGGTATTCCTTGATGATATCCGCAAACATGTTTGCATTTTTGACAAATTATGGGGCAGGTTTGTATTTGCCACATTTGCATTAGTTTGGCAAAAATAGACAGTTTGGATGCTCACTAGGGAATGTTGAGGTGGCTGCGGGAAGTTTTGGCCTTTCGAGCTGACATGGCCCGGGCTGCAAGACTGCTCGTAGATTCAACTAAGTAATGTAACAAGCTCGTCTCCTGGAATCCTACTTGTTGAAGCATCGAGTGTAGATCCAAGGCAATGCAAGGGGTGTCGTTGGGCGATCCGGAAACAGTAATCTGTTTGTGCGTGGCTGGAGATTCGGTGGCCACGGCGAGAATGTGGCGATTTTCCAGATTTCCGAATTGAGCAAATACAAACTCAATAATTCAATAGCTCACATCGCTTGCAAATTGGTTCTATCTTTGAATTGGCTGCCTGAAATGATGCTATCATCGGTGAGTGTGCATCAATAGCGGTATCGAGTCCCGAGGGAGCTCCTCCATGGGTTGACGTTCTAAATGGAGGATGAAGATTTTTAATACATGGCCAACATTGAGCAATATATGTAGGTACAGTAAAAAGGGTCGATCTAGAAGTTCAGCTAATCATGAAAATGTGCGGCACATGACATACTAGTAAAAGACATCAAGATATCAAGGAAAACTTAGGGTGCTTGTAGTTGATATAGGCGGGTAAGATGTTGCCTGCCAGGGGAATGCTAGCTGGTTGTCTTTATAGGTTCAAGGGGCTTTCTGGGGCCGTCGTCAATGAATGAATGAATGGATTAAAAGGTATATGCAAAGCCCCTTGGAACCGGTTAAAGTACGTATGTAGCTATTCAAGTCAGGGCATAATACATGTGGGGTTTTGTGTAATCCAACGGCCGAAGGAAGCTCGGAAGAATAATAGCTGGAAGGAAAGAGGGGATATACGGAAGCACTACCGTATCTATATGTATCATCCGTTGTCCAAAAATTCTGCATATCCAACGAGTCAACAAGTGATCGGCCTCTCTGTTATACTTAAATACTGGGCAAGGGCTCTACTGGATAGTGAAATTTGACTGACTTCTTAGCTTCAGAGTTGCAAATATCTACAAAGGTAAGGGTTAGTCATTAGTAGTTTTGTTTCCATATTCTTCCAGATATCTAGATCCGACACTCCCTGACTATCTCACCGTTGCAAGGCAGTCCTCAAATTAAACTTCATTATTATACAGACTAAATAAGCCAAAATAAAGTAGTTTGCCAGAGACCCTCTGTTGTCGAGAGTACCAGGGTTGTTCGACACCGAACCATGGATCGGCTACGGCTCTGGCCTTTTCATAGAAGTCGCAACGAATGGGGAAACATCTATGGAGGGTACACCCCAGGGATTGATTTGAAGACATTCACATACGTATATGCAGGCAGATGACCTTTAAGAGGAATCACCTTGGAACGATCGCGCTTCCTCACAAAAGACTTGGGAAGCGGGAGATATTACATAATATGCATTAAGCTTATCGATAAGGCAGCCCTCCGCCGCTAGTCCCGATTGGGCCACAAACAAACAACCCCAGTCCCGGTTTACGCCCCAAGTGTCGTCTTAGGCCTCACCGATCTGAATCGCTCTGTCTTTCCCCCACGTCTTTGCAAACAGGTTCTTGGCGCCGTTCAGTGCAATTAAATCTTTATTTGCCAATCCTTTTTATTTTGAATACCTAATTGAAACCTCCTCGTTCTCTCGACAATGCTGATTGATTGAGCGACCGTTCGTTGCTATCCCTGCGGTCGTGCGGACCTTGTCACCCATCTGGCCAAGCAGCGTTGTACTGGGTTCGAATCAACAACAGCGTCGTCGATTGATAGGTCACTTTCCTACCTTACCTGGACGTCAACTTATCAGAAGTGCGCCAGGTGTCGAAACAGCTTATTAGGTCGATCCTGTGTGTTGCGCTCGACGAAACCGTGTTTAAGTGACAACCATGACTCAGCTACCAGTGCGTTTTCCATGCTGGTGCCGAGCAGTATATTCCTGGGGCGGAGAGACCACACGAGATCTGGGATTTGTGGAGGGTGACTTGATCGAATGCCTGAATGCAGGCGACGGACAATGGTGGATGGGTCGGTTGCGCCGTGACAGACGCGCGGTTGGACTGTTCCCGTCAAATTTTGTCGAGCTTCTGAGTGAAGACTTTGTGCCCGTGAGCCGTGATACTACTAGCGTAATGGTGGTAGGGGGATCTTCTCCGATCAACAATCCCACATCAGCTCCCAAGAAACAGAAGACCGTTTGGCGGAAACCCTTCCAGGCGCATAAGGAAGCCGTATCACCAGCTTCCGTCGCTCGGCGTGCAACAGAAGCCAGCCCATCCGCACCCGCGATTCCCCAAACACCACCTCGGGATGGCAGCGTTCCACGAAGTACAAAGCCGTTGCGCACGCATGCGTCAGCAGTCAAGAACCAAGGCTCTCTATCTCGACCCACATCATCAGCATCAGGGCCTTCCTCACGCGGTGTCTCTCCTCGTTCGTCTGCGGAGCCTGAACGGTCACCATCGATGCTGCCGAGGGCAAGCGTCTCATCCTCTCGGCCTTCGTCTCGCGAGCAATCTCCATTACAAACACATGAACGTTCATATGCGATGACGCCGAAGGCCAGCCTCTCATCCACCCGTCCTCTCTCCCGCAATCCATCCCCCTTGCCAATACACGAGCATTCGTCTGGCATGGTAACACAAGGGAGTATCCCGTCTTATCGGGCTTCATCTCGTGAGCCGTCTCCGTTGCAAATGCAGGATTATCCACCCCCGGCCATGCCACATGGCAGTGTTTCCTCCTACCGGGAGTCATCGCGCGAGCCGTCTCCGTTACAAATGAAAGAATATCCGCCCCCAACCATCCCCCCTGTCTCATCATATCAGGCACAATCACGTGAGCCATCTCCACTGTATATGGAGGATCATCCACCCGCGACGATACCACATGGGAGTATGTCATCTTACCGGGCTCCATCGCCCTTAGTTCATGATCATTCGTCCGCGATGGTCCCACACGGGCGTGTCCCATCCTACCGGGCTCCATCGCGTGGGCCGTCTCCGCTACCAATGCAGGAGCCTTCTACGATGGTTTCACATGGTAGTATGTACCGGGCCCCATCGCGTGGGCCATCGCCATTGTACATGGAGGATTATCCACCTGCACCCATGCCGCATGGAAGTATGTCCTCCTACCGGGCTCCATCGCCATTACCAACCCGGGAACATCCATCTGCGGTGGTCTCTCACAGCAGTATTTCATCTTACCGGGTTCCGTCCCGTGGGCCCTCTCCGGTGCAAATGCACGAGGAGCGGGAAGACTCTCCCCCTCCCCCTCCACCGCCGCCACACCGAGTCGTCATCGGTCGTACAAACTCCTACTCTCCCCAGCCGCCAATGCATTCACAGACACGGAGTCATTCGCCGCTACCACCCATGCACCCATCCCAGTGTCGTGCACACTCTTCCAACCCGCCATCACACCATCCAACCCCATCACGATCCCCCACTCCATTAGTTATGAATGACCGTTACACGATGTTCAATCGAACCCCATCTCCATCTGCGGCCTCAATGCACTCCGCTGTTTCTGCGACCTCAGCACAGTCGGATATTCATGGAAATACACCCTCTCCGCTCCGAGATGCCATGGAAGATGTTATGACTTCGTTGGAAGACATGGGTCTCCCTCGCCAAGCCCAGTCGCCTTCTCCGTCGCCGATGTTCAACAATCCCTGGGCTCCCGAAGAATTTGATACCTCGCAGGAAAGGACCCCCCAAGGTAACAGGCGCCGGCCTTTGACGTCAATGGGATTTGATGGAGACAAAGAGCAACCGCAGGGCGGACTCGTCCATCGCAACAGCGTTTATAGCCATGACCATATGGATGGTCCACCTCAACTGAACAATTATGTCCAAAGAATGGAGAGCCGCTTACGTCAGTTGGAAGATCAGAATCGAATGTCTGAGGATCGAAGAGCAGACCAGGAGGACGACAACGGACCTCCGCCCCCTCCTCCAAAACATGCCACCTACCACCCGCGAAATAACTCTATACCAGGACAATATGCTCCCCTCAAGGCCCGGCGTTCTGGCCATGATCTCCGGGGTGATATCCTGAACCGGTCATTTACCAATAAGTCTAGTGCCACCAATTCGTCCAGTGGGGTGCAAAGTAATGGCACATCCATGACGGCGAGCACAGACAAGACCAGCCAAAGCGTTATGAGTGGCTTCTCTGCGGGGGGATTTAGTGCGACAAGTGCAGGGAGCTTTGCCCGGCGAGGCGGGAATGAGAGGCCTAATACTGCTATGGACACTGTCCGCTCTCGAGGGTTCAGTGACGTACGCCCGGAGACGCCTTTCACCGGTGTTTCGTATCACTCCAGTCATAACTCGTCTCGCCAGGGTGCATCATCGGCTATTCCGTGGTCATCAACTGGTCTCGACTCGACGGACCATAGTGGAGTTTTTGGTGGTCTTTCTACGCCAAAGAGCAAAAAGCAAGGGTTTTTCAAAAAGATATTTGAAACAGCCAAGACTGGTGCAGCCAGTGCAAGGAGTAGCATTTCGGTCGGACATGGCGAGAGATCAAGTTCTCCAACCAAGAGCAACAGAGGAATAGAAGTCGTCTCACCGGCTCTTACATCTCACTCGAACCGCGATAGTGGTCGTGATACGGGACTCGGAAATGGCACCATTGACTGGGTTCAGGTGCGCCGAGATGTTAACCGAGCGTCGTCCCCTAGTCGAAATGAGAGGATCGACAGGGCAGAACGATGCCAGATGATGGATCACCCTGTTATCTACTCCGTGGAAGAGCTATACGATACGGCGGAGGGCGATGAAAGCATCGATGGGCAACCGATCACCGAGCCAACCAATTTCCACGCAGCCAATCTTAACCTTGTTGATAAGAGTGCGCGCTTCATCAGCAGTTTACCTCCAATGACCAACCCCATGAGCCTCGCCCAAGCCTATATTTGTCGACCCTACAAGAGTGACGTTCAGCGTCTTCGGGCCATCTTTACCTGGGTCAGCGAGAAAATATCGTGGGAGGAACCTGTTGACGGCCTGGAAGTTGACATGAAGAGACTCCTACAGGCCAAACGAGGTACCCCAGAGGAAATTGCACTATTGGTGCACGAGATGTGCGCAGCCGTTGGCCTGCATACAGAAATCATCCGAGGATTCCTTAAGAGCCCTGGCGACACCCTTGATCTGGAAAGCCTCTCCCGTCCGAATCACTGGTGGAACTCTGTTCTAGTCGACGGGGAATGGCGCTTTATGGATTGCGCACTTGCAAACCCCACGAACCCTCAACGCAGTAAATTCGTTTCCAACAATTCTTCTGTAGCGGAGAGCTGGTACTTCCTTACGCGCCCGCTTGATCTCTGTTACACTCATGTGCCGCTCTATCCGGAAGAACAGCACATCTGCCCGCCAATTTCCCCAGATGTCCTTCTCGCCTTGCCCACCGTGTGCCCCCCATTCTTTAAGCTTAACGTCCAGATGCCGGATTATGACACAAGTTTCCTCCGTATCGACGGATTGGAAGTCATGCAATTACGCATGGTAGTCCCTCCGGATGTCGAATGTGCGGCGGAAGTCGAAGCCCCGGGATTCGCCCGCGACGCAGACGGTGGCTGCTTCGAAAGCGGAGACATTGTGCGTAAGCGCGCCTTGGTCCAGCCCGATTGGATCCGCGGCCAAAAACGCATCACAATAAAGGCTGTACTGCCAGGCGACGAAGGCCAGGGTGTCCTCAAGATTTATGCAGGCAAGAAAGGGCTGATGCACTCAAGCCGAGACATCCCCCATCCCCTAGCCTTAGCTCTACCAATGATCCACACTGGCGAAAACCCATCTTACGATTTTGTACTACGCCATCCTACACCACACGCCCAGCGACACGACTTGTACATCATGCAGCCGCAATGCTCTCGCCTGGCAGTCAACAATACCTTTGTGTTCGCTGTCCGGCAACACCCTTCTGCTCCCGCATCCGCCAAGGAGGATACCACCTCCAATGGCCGCAGCTCGCCCTCGTCCGTTTTCACTCGCCCGTCTAGTGCGTTGAGCATGGTGTCCAGCACAGCGGGCGGCTCCACTATATCGGGTGTCTCAAACGAATTCTCAGCATCGACCTCGGCTATTTTGTCGACCAAATCTGCTTCTGGGCGGGACAAGGCTGCGAAACTGGCGATCCAGTCCCCGTCCGGCAAAATCCTTCGTCTCACTCGCAAAGCTGACCACATGATCAGCAGTGACACCGGCGCCGAGTCTGTCACCGATGCCGTCGCTGAGGGCAGTGTTTGGGAGACTGTCATTAAGATCGGTGAGCGTGGTATGTGGCGCGGGCTTGTGCTCGCTGACCGAGCTGCCCGCTGGTGTGTATTTTGCGAGTGGGAATGTGTTTGATCTCTTTTTCCTTTACATATTATGGGCGTTGATCTTGAAGCCTTTTCTGGAACGCCAGATTCAGGAAGAGGTGGCTGTCTGTCTTTCTTATTTTATTTGTCTTTTTGCTGGTTGCATATCGTCGTCATATTGTCCTCCTGGCTAGCATTTGCATGAGGTTCGCTTGGAGCATTGCATATATTGCATTTTGTTTGGCGATGTTCTATTCCAGAGATGATTTCGGTGTTAGAGTCTGAATTAATAGGAGTTTAAGATATCCAAGTCCACATGAATGATCATATGGAGTAATCCAAACGCTATGGGTAGCAATAGAATGATATACAGGGAATCTAATCCAGACCCTAACTGATTCTGCTCTATAATTTAGCTACTGCTGCCCGCAGCAATGGCGCAACCTGCTTCCTACTCCCAGCCGCATTAGTCTGCACCCACAGTTTCCTCCAGAGAGGTGATTCCTCGTTCAGTATAGAAAGCCAATCTCCTGTCATCTTAGGGATATCCTCCCCATCAAGCGGAGACCATTCTATGAGCCCAAGATGATGAGATGAGTGCTCAACAAAGCTCTTGACACCCTTAGCAGCCGCTTCATTGTCACCCATCACGTTGACGAACAGCTCGCGACAAAATTTGTCGTTAGTGCCTGTAAACGCCGTCATAATAACAAGCACATCCAAGTCTTTCTCAGCGGAAGCTGCAAACGAGCGCACGGCGTCGAGGAACTTCTCCGGGCCACCCGCCTTCTGTGCAATCCATCGCATGGGCTTGACAGCAGAGCAGAAGCCCATTTTCACGGTCTTTCCCGAGGATTGTGACGTCTCAGTCCAGTCTTTGTAATCACGGTCCAACACTTCATCCATCGTAAGAAGATCGAGACTATTCTGCTTAGCATGAACAACACTCTTGTAGAAAGCCTCCAAGTCCCAATCGCCTCTTGCGTTCGCTGCAGCTTGTGATTCTCCCTCGATTTGAGATTGTAGGAATTCGACTGCCGTACGATCTACATCGGTCACTTTGCCTTCCGCAGTGAGGTTAGAGGTATCGACCAGCACCGCAGAAAGAGCAAGCTTGGCGACCTGCACCATCTCCGGGTTCGCGTCCCAGAGTTCCCGCTGTTGCAACTCTCGCGTGATGAGCGATGCACATGACCCAGGTCCCGGCTGGATAATCATCGGTTGGCCTTCTGGTAATGCGTCAATACTTGGCATAGAGTGCTCGTCGAGGTGGTGGTCGATACATCCAACAGTCCGGAAGGTGACACCCGACAACCCGGTTAGGGATCCAGAGCCCTTATCGGTCTTGGAAGGGCGCGGGAACGCGTTCCAGTCTACTAGTGTTGCGTCGGCGAGTATCTGTTTCCACACATGATGGTCTTCGAGAGATTGCGCAAAGTCCGCGACGGTCATAACATGCTCACGTAGGAAATTACCCGCGGACTGTAGGGTGTTCTCGAATTGCTCTTCAATCTTCAGGGCGGGGAAATTGGTCGATGACCATAGTGCAGCTGAAAATTCCGGTCTTAATCGACATAGCTCTGTGCCCGCGGGGAAATTGGGTAGGTTTAGAAGTGGGATGTGGGCTCGTGGGCTTTTGATCGGGAGCCGGTTGTTCGCGCAGTAGGAGTAGATGATCGCCGACACGATGGAGTCAAGGTCGGCGGAGGGATTGCCGATTACATATATTGGAGGCTCAGATATGGCACCCGAGAGGAAACGGAGGTGTACTTGGCGGGCGTGTCGTAGAAACTGGAGGAGAGTCATGATTGTTGAATCAATTGATCGCAGCAAGGCCCATATGCCCGCGCGGGCAGATGCGCGATGTCCACACGTCATTCAATTGCTGACACATCTATCAGATTAAATTGATGCCTTGTACATGAGGCCACAACATATAACGTATTCGGTAAGCGAGCTGGCCATCTCCAAAACACATAGTAAATGCGATAAATTACAACTTGATATCTCAACGACCACGTCTTTATTTGGTTTCATTACTTGTCGATAGCTATTGATAAGAATGTTTAATACTATATATCAATCTTAAGAGAATCGAAAAGGTGCATTGTCATGGTATCGAAAATTACGCTGCTAAAAGCCTGAAATATATATCTCATAATCTCTAAGTCATATGTATATTTCCCAAACTCCCTAGAGCGGCTAGATATTACCTAAAAAGTAGTAGGTCATAAGGAAATCTCATAGACTACCGTTGTCGAGATATCAAGTTGTAATCTATCGCATTTACTATGTGTTTTGGGGGTGGCCAGCTCGCTTACCGAATACGTTAACTAAATAACTAACTAGCTACCCCATTGGAACATCCAACTTGATCACACCAAAAGCCATGCATAAGACAATGCCTGTTCCGCTGCAACTGCCAGAAATATTCGCTCAAATTCCCCGCTACAACATCCTGTACTCCAATCCCTCCCCCATCCACCCCTTACCCTCAATTGTACCCCCAAATCTCTCCCCGCACCACCCCCTCATCTCCATCCACGCCAAACGAGAAGACCACTCCTCCCCACTAGCCTGCGCAGGCAACAAATATCGCAAACTAGAATACATAGTCCCAGACATTCTATCTCAAACACCCTCCTATCATAGCCATGAGAACGACCCAACACCCCAAGGCCCGCTGCAAGGCGCAGTAACAACCCTCGTCACAGAGGGCGCAATCCAAAGCAACCACACCGTGCAAGTCGTCGCTCTTGCACGGAGACTCGGCCTGAAAGCCGTAATCCTTCTGCACCGCGGCACAGGCGGTGGACTCGCAGCAGCCAGCGACAAGGAAGCCTTCCAACGGGGCGGCAACGTGCAAATCAATCACCTTCTCGGCGCGGAGGTTCGCATCTGCGAAGAAGGCGATCCGCTAGCGCTGGATGCGACGCCTCTTCTTGATGAGTTGAGGGCGTCGGGACAGAATCCGTATTGGATCCCTGGTGGCGCCAGCTTGCATCCGCTTGGTGGGCTGGGGTATGCCCGCGCGGCGTTTGAGATTGCGGCGCAGGAGGAGAGGATGGGGCTTGGGGGTTCGGGGAGGTTTGATTATGTCTTTGTTGCGTGTGGAAGTGGGAGTACGGTTGGCGGGTTGATTGCTGGGTTTAAGCTTCTGGAAAAGATGAGCGGATTCGATGTCTCAAACACTATTCGGGAGCCGAGGAAGGTTGTTGGGATTCTTAATTCGCCGACTAGGCCCAGGGCATATCATGAGAAGCGGGTGCTTGCTTTTGCGCGGAGGGCGGGCGAGTTGATTGGGCTTGATGGGGAGCGGGATATTGGGGTCGAGGACGTGCGGCTTGATGATCGGTTTGTTGGGACTGCATATGGTGTCCTTGATGACGAGAGTAAAGAGGCTCTAGAGACCATGGCGCGGATGGAGGGTATGGTGCTGGATCCAGTTTATACAGCGAAGGTTGCGAGAGGCATGATGCATTGGGTGAGCGAGGGAGAAGTTGTGGACTCTGCTAAGCCATTGGATCAGGTCAATGTATTGTTCATTCACACAGGTGGACAAGCTGCTCTGGGAGCTTATGCCGATGTCAAATAGAACATGACAATAAGTTGTTCATAGCCGGAAACGTGAATAAGAATGGCTGAATTCAACTAGTATTACATGGTGTCGGCAGCAGCAAAGAAAAGCAGTCATGACAGACATAGTCTTGTGGTATGGAAAAGCAGAAAAGCGTAGAATCGCTGGAAAAAACCCCCGGACTCGCCAGTCCCGTCTCTTGTACACTTTTTTGAAAATTGATCCGAGTAGCACGATAACAATATAGGAGAGGCGAGTAAACAAAACTAAAAGCAACGCATGAAAGCAATCAGAACGTAGTAAACAAAGACCGAACAAGAGGTGGTCAAGTTTTCAATAAAAACGAAAGATCAATTGATAAAAGAAAGAAGACTCAGTCAAAGTTCCTCGTCCTCAAGCTCTCTACTGGCGCCGTCGAATTTGGGCTCACCTTGCGGTTCACCAGGTTCACCATTTTGAACCGATTCCCCTTGAACAGAAGCAGCACGACTACTGCCATTGCTAACTACGAGGGCCTCCAGGGCCTCATTAGCATGAGTATTGTCCATAGGTTGGGTCTCAGCTTCATGGTCAATCTCTTGGTTGGTCAGGTCCGCAAATACGTCATCCAGGTTCTGACGAGGGCTGCTGCTCGCGAATTGAGGATCATGACCAAATCGCGGAGGACTGAAAAGGGAGGTTTCCAGGTCTGGCTGGGGAGGAGAGCGCGGCAGGAATGAGGGGGATTGCGAAGCGGCTGCGTGGGGGAGGAAAGCCGAGGAGGAGGTAGGTGCAAACGCGGGTGTGGAATCGCTTGCAGGCAAAGAATAGTTCGCGGAGAATGGATATGGTGCGGCATTTGGATCTGGCATCTGTGCCAAAGTTGGACCCGTGCTAGGAGTACTAGAAGTCGGCGGTGCTGGTTGCATGGATGCAGGTTGACCAGGAGCCGACTGTGGTTGAGCATCGGAAGATTTCCGTTTGGTTAAGCCAATGTGCTTGGGGCGAAGATGCTCCGGGAGATCCTCTGGACGATTTACCCCAAGCTGGGCCATGATTTTCTGCTGCTTGGTCGGTCGCGGCTTTCGTGTCGACAAAGATTGCTCCAGAATTGGAGGGGGTTCCGGTGCGACGGGTGCCCACTTATGGATCTCCTGCCGGAAGAAATTCGTCTCAAAGGTGAGAAGAACCTCAGCGCCCTCGATTTTGCGGAGGTAGAATATCAAAGTGGGAACTTCCTCGGTGGTTGTGCAGGCAGCATTGGTGAAGCCTTGCAGGAAATCACGGAAGGCTGTCGCTTGATTAATAATACTCTCAAGAACCTCTTCTTCCTCAGGCTGGAAAGGCAAAGTTGCGATCTCCGCGTGCCAATCTTGCAGATCCTCAAGCTTAGGCCGAGCAGCATCGCGCGGAATCTTTTGACGCCAATCGCAAATTGGACAGGTGTACTTGTCAAATTCCTTCACTTTACCCCGAGCGATCTTCAAACATTTGCCATGGTACCTACATTGGTCAGTAGACTAAACCACAAGTCGAAAGTTTGTTGGCTCACCATTCATGGCAGACTTCACATTCAATCATCATTCCTGCCTCAGAGTGCCTGCAAATACAGAACACATCTCGCTTCCGTGACTTTGGGCCCCACATGTTGTTGGGATTGCCAGGATTCTCAAGCAAACCTTCCGGCGAGTTGTCTCGAGACGAAGGCTCCACAGGCGGTCGGTAACTGTCCTCTAGGTCGAAACAGTACGAATTCCGCTTCTCGACGTATTCCATATGGGATCTCAGAATGTGAAGAGGAGCATTCGCCTTGCCAAATAGCTTTTTCCCCTTTCTCATCCAGTCTTCATGACGCTTCTGCTCGCGTTCTAAGTCGATCGCCCCGATGGGTCGACTCGTCAAATGCTCAAGAGATTCCATGAGGTCACGGATGTCCTTGTACTTGGGCCGATTCTTCATCTCCGGATCCTTGCTCTTTTCATATAGAGTCTGGATCCTTTTCTGTGCCTCACGCTGCTTGGTCAATATAGCATCGACGGCAGCGAGAGTATCAGGTGAAACTGGAAAACGAGACGCCTGTGCAGAGAGAGCTTCTAATTGCTGATAGTGAACGGCTTCAACAGACATTAATTCCTTGGCCTTCATTTCCCACGCATCGCCATGACGAGCAAGTTCCTTGAAGTGGATTAGATGTTCATTGGTATCGGAGAGGCCGAGCTGCTCCGCACCGGCGACAAGTTCCCGGCAATCGGTAAGGGTCATGTATTGGTCTCGTCTGCGCACAGCTTGTTCAATCCATTTGATTTGGCGGGAAACTTGCTCTAGGTGTTCCAGTTCCGGGACTTCCACGTTGAAATTTTTGCCGCGTTCGATCAGTTCTTCAATCTCCTGGAGAGGCCGGGTGTGCGGGTGCATCAGAGCAGTATTAATATCCTGTTGGAATTTCTCGATCTCGCGGGTTTTCTCTTCCAACGCCGCCATCTGTGGACAGTCGAACGAAAGTTTATCAGCCTCTGCCTGAAGGGCGTAGATATGTTCAATTCTGCGGACTTCGCGATCGCGATCGTCCAGCTGCGCCGCCTTGGTACTGCCTCTGCGCCAAGCCTTCTCGTTTTTCCTCCGGTTCTGCTGCTTCCGGGTAATGTAGTTGTTGGCTTCTTCAACCCATTTATCGCAACGCTGGACGAAGGCCGCAAGATCTTGAAGGCCTGGCAAGTGGTATGGGATTTTCTCACCTTCATTGAGCAAGTTATGAAGGGCCTTAAGCTGAGGCTTCGGTTCATCCTCCAGGGTCTTGTCGAGCTTCTCAGACCATGCTTCGGGAATTCTGGCCCGTTCTTGGACTTTCTGCACAAGCGCCTGCAATTCATCATCACTCATGCGATAACGGAGGGTATGTCCCGAACCGCACAGCTTCTGAGCCAAAGTTTCCCCACAGCAGTCATAAGTGTCAACGTGGGACAAACAGATAGTCTTGCCTGATTTATGACAACGGAACTGAGTGAGGTAAGCGTAGGCCTTGCAATGTTGACATTGGTAATCATCCTCGGGAAGATCTTCATTCTCAACTACGAATCTCGGCTGCGCATCGTCCGCCATGGAGTCAGGACCAAAGCCTGGGGTGCGAGCAGACACTTCCTTTTGCCGGTATAGGAAAGCAGCCCGATCACCCAGTTCACGAGCGCAGGTTCTTGCTAGTGCAGGCGCAAGCCACTTGGCAGTGGCAATAGAGGTATCACGCGCAGCAGCGGTAAGAAGCAATTCATCATGGGAGAAACACGGGTGCCTGCGGAAGTTCTGAAGACGATCAACACCTGCTGCACCGTATGGCTCCCAGTCCGTAGGCGCGAAGTTGACTGCTTCATTGAAATTAAAGCCGTGATTGAAGCCGGCATGGTATGCTTGAGGGAACGTGAGCACAAATTGACCGGCTCGCTGATCCACCGCATAAACGTTGACGCCGGCCTTGCGAAGCTTGTCTGGTGGCATCAAGGTGACAAGCTGGAAAAGCAGATCGGGCTGGCCTTCGAAAAGCTCCGGAACTGCATCCCGCATGGCCGCCTCAAAGGCCTCTGCGTCAGCACCTGGAATTCCATACCAGGTCTTGGTAGCACCAAAGTGTTGGTAGTTGGCCGAATAAGCGTAGTGATCCTCATTATGCCAGCAGAAAGTGGAGAAACACATTCCCACATAGACCCAGGGGACGGTCATACCAGAGATATCGGACTTGATGTAACGGAACAGCGAGTCTCCATAGAAAGGAAGGACATTCAGGTTCCAAGGATCTGACGAATATGGATCAAGAGGATTCCGTTCAATAGTTGGGAATCCACTTCCATGCGTGGTCGAATGGATGTCCGCGCCGTACTCGACTTCAACTGTCTCATGTAGATCAACGACGAGCTTCCAGAATTCAGCCTCCACATCGTCCTCGGTTTCACGTCGATGCGTGTTGAGAACCGGGTCGAAGGGCATCTTGGAAGCAAAGTACTTCTTCTTGAACTCGTTGGCCTTCTCTTGGAACTGTTTCAGTGAGTAAACACCGCCGTCTTCAAACCCGAATTCCCCTGTGCCGACTAAACATTTGGGACAGTGCCAGTCGTGTTCGGATGCCGTGGTAGTAGACGGATCGAGACACGCCTTGTGATACCCAAGCTCGCAACCGTCGCATATAAGAATCAACCCTTGATCGTCCGTTTTGCCACAAGTCTCGCATTTCTGTTCATGAATCAGTATATCATTAGAAGGCTGACACGATCCTCCGCCTACCTCTCCAGCTGGCTGGGAGCCATCCTTGCGCGATTTAACCGGGGCTGGGCGAAGAAGCGACATATGAGAACCTGCAACTGTTGGGAGTGAATCTGCAATGGGAATTAGAGAAGACTCGCTTCGAGCATTGAAAGAGCAAAAAAAGGTGTACCTTTCTTGAGACGCTTGCTGCGTCGACCGCTTCCATCATCGTCATCGCCATTTTCGCACTGAGAACTGTCTTCGCGGCTGATAGCACGTTTCAGAGACTCCTCTTCTTGACCATTTACAGGTGTCGAGACAGAAACCTGCTCGGAAATGACTTTGGGTGTCGAGGCGCCGTTCTCTCCCTCCCGCTTGATTGGCGGGCCGTTGTTCGCGGGTGTGAAAGGGGAGTGGTTCACGGCGGTAAACCCACCGAGGCCGGAGTTGACGGGAGTAAAGCCTGCGGCTGCTGGGCGTGAAGAGGGAGGAGGAGTAGGTTCGATGGGGGGTGTTGGCTTCTCCGGGGACCTTTCCATTGGTGTATGTGCCATTGGAGTATGTGCCACTGGAGTATACGCCATTGGGGTATGTGAAGCGGCCATTCGAGGCAAGCTAGGAGTCTCATCGCGAACTTTAGAAGGCGTGCCATTTTCATCCAACATGGGCTTCTGAGTCAACGGGGAGTGTAGGGGCGAAGGGGTATATGGACCACCGTGCTCAAGCTCAAGCTGTTGTTGGACACCGGGCTTGGCCCGGGCCAAGTATTCCTCGTACGGCTGCAAGTAGCGCTGGTAGGAGTTCTTGAGCGAAGTGGACAATGAGGACATTATCTTGCCGCTGTATCCAAGATCACGACCAATTTCCGCCCATTTTTTCGTCTTGCACACTGATTCAAACCCACCACGACTCTCTACTGCCTTTTTGAGTTTGTAGAGATCTAACGGTCGCTTGTCGACGCTGGGTAGCCGGCTGTAGTTAGTCCCATGCTGTTTGTGAAACATGGCAAGTCCATCGACGTAGTTCATGTTCGCGCGGTTTCCTATGTTTGAATGAGAGTCAGGACCGCACTGTGGTGTGATATTACCAGCTGGGGCAGTCTGATATGCTGCAGGTGAGCCCTTACCTCCTTCGACGGAATTGAGCTCTTGTCTACGGGTCTTGAAGTGAAATCGCTGTATCCATTGTCAGGCATGATCATGCGCGGGACGCGAGTGCGATAGCATCCATGGAAGGAGGGATCCTACCTCTGTATCAATTGCGAAAGTCGGTTGCCAGCCCTCTGGTGGAACCACTCGGCAAATTCCATACTTTTTCCCCTCGGGGGCGATCTTTTGAATGTAGGCGACCGGGTCCTTGAATTCTTCCTCCGTTGGACGGAAAGTCGGGGCTTCTGGGATGCCATGAGGACGAATGCGCTTGGATGGCTCTCTGGGGTTGTTGGGCTGTCCACGCCGTTCCACAGTGGACAAATCAAGAGGTGCGGACCTGCGAGCACTCAGGGGTACGTTGTGGGAGTGCGACGGATGGGTGCTCGAGGACCGAGTCGGCTGGCCTGCCGCGGCCGTCGAGGTCACCCCGGCAGAGGCCGGAGCTCCCATTGTTCGAAATAGGACAGGCGATTAAGGAGACGTTGGATTGAGCGCGTCTGTTTGGGGGAATTCGATTAACAATGACTGTAATCGGCAAAGGCAGGGCGTGATGATAGATATCAGGAAAGGCGGCTGCCGGCGTCCTGTCAATGTGACCGAAGGGTAAAGGACCGGTGACGAACCAAAGAATATGAGAGAATGTACTTTGAGGGAAAACGAGAGAAAAAGTTGACTTGGGGTAAAAGGCGATAGAACAAGAAAAGAGAGGCCCAAGTCGCAGGGTGGAAAGAAGGATAGATGGGATAGAAACCTTAAGAGTGGAGGAATGAGATTATGTGCAGTAAAGATCGACTGGGGTTGTACTCCAGAAGTATTGCCAGGTCCCTTTTGTGTGGCCAGCCAGTAAGAAAGGAACCGATGAGTGACCTCGGGGGAACCTCCGGCCAGCCGCGATGGTACCGATCAGTACGGTATAGGATTTACTGTAAAAATGAGCTAATCGGAGCTCAGGTACCGCTTAGGCCTTAAGTTTCACCTGTAAGTTTGGTAATTATACTGCAATGCTGCAAACGGGGGAACATCATACGGTGTCCATCTATGACTTTCCGTATTTGGGAGCCCAATATTACGAGCCCGTCTATGTGAATAAAATAGTGTGTTGTGATACACCAAATTGATAGAGGATGAGCCTCGGATACTCTCTAGCGTGATATTAGCTGGGTATGGACATTGTTTGTACAATTTGTTAGATTTCGATGCCCTGAATATCTATCGATGTATTTAATCATTTTTTTGTCTCTGATATTGCTCAAACGTGGATTAGATGGGATTTTATTATATTTATGGGGACTTTCCGTTCTCATTCATTATCCCTTAATTACGCAGGTAACAACTCCTATTAAGTTTCTAATATCCCTAGACTGCACTTCCATTTCCCCTTGAGAGGGAAAAAATACAGTATCATGTGATCCGGTGTATATCAAGGTATCGTCTAGGACCCGCACGTCTTTGATAGGCAAAGCTAATTTCAAGGACTTGACAAGCCTACAATGTCGAATTGAACATCTCAATGTGAAAAACCATATGAAATATCTCCAACTCTAGCATTATGGAGGATTCTGAAAAGCCCAAACCAATCCCGGCATATTACTGTTGTTATCTCCTGCGTTCGACCGTTCGACACGCCTCACTGTACATTGGCTCGACGCCAAACCCGATCAGACGACTCCCTCAGCACAACGGTGTCGCCAAAGGTGGGGCCAAGCGAACTGCCAGAGATAAATTACGCCCCTGGGAAATGACCCTTGTCGTAGAGGGTTTCACGAGCAATGTCGGCGCTTTGCAATTCGAGTAAGTCGCATGTGAATTGTTTGTATACATCGCGTCTCAATTTATCATTTCGCGTAGGTGGGCTTGGCAACACCCTGAAAGGTCGCGCCATCTTGATTCCGAAGATGACTTAGAACCCAAGCCTCGGGCTAAGGCCAATGCCAATGCGAAGACGGGGAAGCCGAAATCGAAACCTAGAGCGCGGACCAGGAGATCCCTAATGGCGCATTTGGAGGATTTGCATTCCCTGCTTCGCTCGACTTATTTTTCCTCTTGGCCGTTACGAGTCCGTTTCTTTTGTGTGGATGTTTATCGTATATGGCGAGCCTGGAATGATCGTGTTGATGGTCGCTTGCCCGACAAGATCGAGGTTATTCTAGATGGAGACAACCTTGCAACGGCGCCAGATGCCAATCAAGGCGATGAGCTTGCACCCGTTGGAAGCATTAACAACCTATCGATTGACTACACCAGGCTTGAAGATTATCTTGAAAAGTCAATGTTCATGCTGGAAGACCCAGATGATCTGCAGTGCACGGTCTGTAAAGAGTCGATCTCTTCAGACGAAGAACAAATAGTAGTGTGTCCACATCCGAATTGCCGCGGCACGAGTCATTTATTATGTCTATCTACCACATTTCTTGACGCGATCAACGAACCAGATCTCCTGGTGCCCACCCAAGGGACCTGCCCGTCGTGCGGAAACACTGTACAGTGGGTGGCGATGATGCGTGAGCTAAGCTTCCGCAATAGAGCAGAGAAAGAAGCGCGCGCAATTCTCAGAAAGAAAGAGAAACGTGTTCGCAAAGAGTCTGCCGCCATGGGTGATTCTTCAGTACCTCGGTCATCTTCGACTGAACCAAGGTCGCTGCTAGAAGAACCGACCGAAGACGACCTAGGACCAAATTGGTTCGAGGAAGTCGATATAGAATCCGACTCTGATTTCGAGGACGGACAGAAGCACCGCTCGACTCGACCTCCATCAAAGCTCGAGATCGTGATTGAAGACAGCGACTGGGATGACGCAGAACTCGTTGAATGAGAGCCAAGCAAGCCCAGTCTAATTTCTAATTCTCTAATTCGCAAGAGGCCCCAACCTCCTCAACGCGCCAATCACCTCCAGGCGCGCAATGCAACCAGCTACGGCGCCTTGTATCTCCCGTGACACCTCATCGATGGATTTCCCCGCATCGATAATGGACACATCCTGCTGCTTCTCGAAGATTGTTTGGAAGAGCTCTCGCACGCGGGTTTGCATTTCCCCGTTTTCATATCGCTCAGCACCGAAGCCACCGCGCTTTGCTGCTTCCTCGGGTGAAATGCTAAGGAATAAGCAGATATCCGGGCGCGGTAGACCGATTTCTGGCCGCCATGCCCACTCCAATGACAGTGTGGGGTTCGCTTTCGCAGCGGAGTAGACAACGCCGGAATATGAGTAGCGGTCTACGATGACGGTTGTTCCGTTCACGATATCTTCTTCGATGCTCTTGGCAATCTCCCACCGGTTTGCCGAGAAAAGGAGGTGGATGGAATGGTCGTCTTGGTGCGATGAGCCGCGTAGATAGCTATCAATCAACTTCCCGATCGGCGTCGTTCTGTCTGGAGGATATTATTAGACCAATGACACCCATAAGAAAGGACTAATTAACTACCTGGGAATCGAATGTATTTGACCACGTGCCCTTGCTGTGAAAGGGAATCCTGTAGCATCTCACACTGACTTGATTTGCCAGCGCGGTCGAGTCCTTCGACAACAATGAGAGCTCCGCGTCGCGTCGGCAACGCTGATTGTCCTGTCATGATTGAGTGGAGCGCAGGGGTGTGAGTAGGCGCAAAATGTTTGAAAAGTGTAGATCGATATGCCAGTTCCTGCACAATATATGCAAACTAGTCCAACGAACGTTTCCAAAGGAGGATAGTCAGGGCGATGTTTATCGGGAAATCCAATTTCTCCTGGCCGATAAGGACAAGATCCAGGCCGCCCCCAAACATGGTCTTTCAATAACCAGGAACGCCATGGACCAAGCGACGTCCGCGTCCCCAGCGATGGCCTTCAGTGTCCTGGCATCCAATGCTCCAGTCCTTGCACCACGAGTAGGCAAATTGGCCATTTCAGGCCGCAAGGCCATCGCGACGCCGCACCATGTCCCGCTCACTTCGCGAGGCACAGTCCCACATGTTGCACACGATGTGATGCGCGATCACACTGAGATAAACAGCTTGTATGCTGGATTGGAAGATTGTAAGCGGAATACTGCATGATCACTGCAATCGGTTTTCATCTGCCCTGGACATGACTGACAGCGCATGCCTCCGGGCATATAATAAGTCATCGCGAAAAAGCAACCCCCAGTTTATAAGACACCCGCTGCGGATTATGAGTCGCCATTGAAGAAATTCATATGCGTGGGCGAGGATATGCCTTTGATCCTAGGCCCACGGCGATTCCCTCCGATCCCATGCCCTCCCGCGAACACATCGACTTCCATCGCGCTGCTAACATCAGTCGGGTTCACCCAGTTATCTGCACATGATTATGTGAAGGCAATTCAAAAACTGAGACCAGATATTGCGGTTGGGATGGTGGACCTTGCTAATAAGCAGCCCGGATCCAAGAGGCGGGGGAAGATGGTTGACCGGACGCATGCCTGGACTCGCGATGCATTGGAGCAGCTCTATGGGGATGCTGTAGCAGAGAAAGACAAGTCAAAGAGCGCATATTTTGCACCGGTGTTGCCTCTGGATAATGCGCAGCAATCCCTCTATCTGGATGATTTAGAGAGTGAGTTCCGGTGGGATATATCCGGCCTGGCGCTGTATCAGTCTGCGTCCCTGGGGTTCGTTCCAGCGTCGTTGGCCGACTTACCTCGGTTGCTCTTTAGCGAGCCCGAGACTCCCCAGACTATCCTGCGTGACATATCCCTCGGAGCGGACCTTCTGACCACCCCTCTGCTCGGCGCATCGTCAGACGGAGGTATCGCCATGGGATTCGTCTTCCCCGCCCCAGCTTCCCTGCAAGAGGGCAAGTCAGAGCCCCGGCCTTTAGGAATCGATCTGTGGACGGGGGATCATACTACAGATACATCTCCGCTGGGCGAGGGATGTGAATGCTATACCTGCAAGAATTACCATCGTGCTTATATCCATCATCTCCTACTTGCCAAGGAGATGACCGCTTGGGTGCTCCTTCAAGTGCATAATTTCCACATCATGGATACCTTCTTTGCAGGGGTGCGGGAGAGTATCCAACGCGGGTCCTTTGAGCAGGACGTTCAGGCATTTTCCCGTGTCTATGCCTCTTCAATGCCAAAGAGAAGCGGAGAAGGTCCTAGGTTTGTCAATTCCCAATATGCTATTTAGTTTCGAACGCTAACAATCTTCTCAGATTACGTGGATATCAACTCCCGCCAAATGGGCCTAACCAGCCCCGGCGTATGGCCAAGGTATATGGCGTTCTTGACGATGCTATACAGAAATACGCCGAGGCCCAGTCTGAGATTGCTACCCCGGACACCGATGCGAGCGGACTCGAGGAACACGGGTTTGCCGAGAAGTTGTGATCAAGCCTGCAGCAGTGACGATCGCCTCTGGTAAACGCTTGCATGAGAAACGGTGCATATATAGAAGCATTTGCTTAGCAATTTGCGTATGGAATCTATCAATCGACAAAAAAGCATATA